TCAATACCACCATATCTGAAAACAAATGTTTTCAGATATGATGGTATTGATATTTCTTCTAATTTTGGGTGAATTGAAATTCTATTCTATGAATTCTATTGAAAAAAACAGAATTTGAGCTCTATTTACAAAGCTAAAAAAATTATTCACAATTTAGTGAAAAATGTATTCTTACCTAGAAGTGCAGAATATGCCCAATTGAATAAAGAGGTTCAGGAAAATTTCAGGTTAAAAAAATATTGAAGCAATAGCCACAAGGAATAGTGTGTCTCAGCCATGTGTAACTTACAACTTAAAAACCAAAATCTCCACATCAGCCAAAATGCAAAATCATCTGGCTAACTTGCAATCTTGTTTTTTAAAGGTGAAATTGGTATGTTATTCATTTTGTTTCTAAATCAGCTGTCACTTGTTACATTGCTGCCTACTTACACTTATGCACTTAGAGTAAAGAAAGACAAGTCAGACTTTGTTTTTAATGTTTTGTAAAATTCAAGTTTTAAAAAGAACCAAAGAAAGAAAATCCATTTCAAAATATACTTCCAATGACATTTATTTAATAGGTAAAATTTCATATGCGCTCAAATTAGACAAAATAGTCACATGGAAAATTTCCAAATTAATAAACCACATTTAAAACTGTCATCTTGGTGGAACTAAATAGCAGATATCATTTTATGAACAATATTTCCCACTATTTCATATTTTTTTAGTTTGTAATAAAATATATTTGTAACATTTTTGTTTCAGTAAAAACAAAAAACATTTCTTCAAAAACAGGTGCATTTAAATAATTTTCAGAAAATAAAAATATTGCATGGCTATTGTCATAAATTTCACATTTTTTGATGTCAAAAAGTTGGTGTAGCGCCCTGTATGAAAAATAGATCATTCTTGATATTAGTGACAACTTCAACTTTACTTCTATTAATCAACATATTAAATTAAGTTTATTATAGGATAGCATGTACAATTATAATGATATGTGCTTATATTAAAGTATGCCTTTAATTGAGAAAAAATTTATTTTATTAGTCTAGTGTTGTGTGGAAAATTATATGGTGGGTCTATTTAATTATTTGTATAATTTGAGTCTTTCAACCTATGTAATAATCAGTTTATTTGTAAATTGCTTTCTTTCATGTGCTAGTGTGTATAGGGCATTGACAGTCCACGTCCACACACTACCATCCCCCAATCTAAAAAAAAATATGACTAATTATAAAAAGTATCCTTTTAGATTAAAAAAAAATCTTAATTTAACCCTTATGATGGTATCTTAAGTTGTCAAATCTCTCATTACTTCAAAAAAATTTTCTGCACAATTAGAATTAGATTGCAGCTTTGGTAGAAATTTTGGAATATTTTCAATACTTCATATTTGTAAAGAAAAACAAACATTTTAATTCTGTGTTTGGCAGGGAAAGTCAGTCTTACTGTATTTAAGATGACATTTCACCAGATTACTGTAAGTTTGACAGGAAAAGTTCAATAATATAGATAGCTTTTGAAATCTGGAACTGAAGAATTCCAAGCATTATTTGTAATCCTCTACATCTAATTTAGTGTTAATTTCTTCATTATTCTCTTTAAATACCAATGAAATGGTGATAACTTTCTTTGCACATAATTCAAGTTATCTGTTGATTTTAATGGAAAACTATCCAAATAACTTTCAGCATGTTATCAATCTGTAGACAAACTTTTCTATTACACCAACAAGTCTCAATAATTTTTAACAAAAACAATATTTGCAACTCAAATTCTCTAGTTTCAAAATACTTCCTAAAATAAAAATGGCTAGTAAATTAGTTATTACACATACCTTAACGTATTCATAAAATAAATCAAGTCTTTGCTGCTGGCTTTTCTCAAGATCATCATTTAAAGTTAAGCTTTTGGCACCTGTGGTGAGCACCTCCATTCGCTTTGCTACAGCATCTGCATCGGTATCATCACACCAATCATTATCATCACTTTCACCATTTTCCTGAAATACAGACAAGTTTTACTATCTTATTTTCTTTTTCTTCCTTCATGCTTCAAAGTATTCAAATACCTTGCGCTGTCCTTCTGGATCAGAATCGTGAGGTGAACCATCATCACCATTCTGTTGTTTCTTAGAATTTTTATCATCACGCTTACGTTTTCCTTTTTTACCCGGTTTAACAGAAGCACCGCAGGTGGCAGGATCCTAATTGTATAATTATTTTAATTAAGGCACTGATAAAATATAAGAAAATAGAGAATTTTATTTTCTTCCAACTAACATGATCAGGTGGATTCTTCAGAATAAAAGTTGTTAACTTATGAGCATTATCCAGCTGTCCACTATAGCCACAAGCTTTACACTTGACGGTAATCACACATTTCTTTTGAAGCACTCCCTAAAATTATGTATTAAATTTTAATTTAGCATCTTGTTAGAATTAAATTATAAAAGATTTGGAAATTTACCGTACCAACACAGTTTCTGGATTATCACAAGATGGACACAGGACAAATCGTCTTATAAATCCATCCAAAATGTCTTGCAGTTTTGCTGCTTCATGAGATCCATTAACAATGTAACGCTCATTCTTCAAATCAAACTGTGTCTGAGCACCAAGCTCACATCCAAAATATTTAGTAGGATCTGCAAATAAAATCAATAAGTTTCAGAAAAAAAGAAAGTTCTATTGAAAAACTATTCTGAAATCATCAAAGTAATATATTCTAAGAAAATACAACACCACCTTTTTACTTTATGAACTTTTATTTTGATTGTAAGCAGGACATATTTACTATAACATACAGCATAAGACTAAGTGACATTAAGAACAAGTACATTTATTAGGAATTCAAAAGTCTGTTTAATGTGTTGCCTATGTTGTTACATGCAACCAAAATATCTCACACTAGTCATACCATATTTTCATGGAATGACCAGCATTCTGCATAAAACGAAGGAGAACAGAATGTTGATTAAATTGCAACTAAAATATAAAAATCAGATAACGAAACTAATTGGTTAATTAAACATTTAAAAAAAAAAAAAAAACATTCTTCAGAGTACAACAAAATAACATCCAGAAGAGTTCTTGTTTACAATACAAAACAATTAATGACTTATTGACAGTAGTAGTAGTAGTAGTAGTAGTAGTAGTAGTAGTAGTAGTAGTAAAGTATGGGCTACATTGACCATCTATCCCAGGTATGGCCAAACTTTTATCCCTTAGAGGCTACTTTTTTGGTAAAATATAGTCCGCAGGCAACTATGAATATGGGCAAACAATTTTAGGATTTTTATATGCGCATGCGTTAACATTCATTTGCATTGTTCATTGGGATTAATACAAACAGTATGGGTACATTGCACAGAGAGTCTATTATTGTAAGAATAAATTATCAAATTAAGATTTTTAAACATTAATTTAAGTGAAAGCAAATTGTTCAACTTTAGCTTCGCGGGCTACTTTAGCTTCGCGGGCTACTTTCAAAACCTTTGCGGTCGACCACGGTCTACATGTTGGCCATCCCTGATCTATCCCAACCCTAAAAATATCATCATCCTCTCAAATTTCACACAAAGCCAATGTTGGTGTAAGCTGAAATAATTTACAGCAAGTTTCTTAAATTTAATATGTTTATCCTTGCATTTTTGAATCAGATGACAATAAAATACAAATACAAAAAAAAGCACTTTTGAAATTCCATGAGTATTTTGTCATTAAAAAAACAAAATGAAGAAATTAATCATATAATCATAGTTTTTGATGTAAAGCTGACAGTTTCAGTTTTAAAATAAAAGACCTCATTACTTTTTAAGTGACATAACTCCATTTTTTTTAAATGCACCCTCTAGAAAGGGATGTATAACCTCTCATAAACTGGCATGCTGGCTTTTACCATATGGAAGTATCTGATTTCCTGGTCTCCCCAAATAGACCGGGGGGGGCCATATTCTGGTCACTGTCTCTGGTCTCTCGTAAGCCAGTCGCTGATTGGCTAAGCCAAATGATTAGCCAATCAGTGACCGGCTTGTGAGAGATGAGAGACCAAAGATAGTGACCAGAATATGGCTCCAGCATGTCAGTCATTCTGCAAAAATACAGTAAATCTAAATGTTACAAAAACCCACAGTTTAAACTATGATTTTAGGACAAATTTAATGAAAAATTGTAACTAATATATGAATAAATTATATTGGAATGAAGTATGTAATACTCTAAATGCAATAAAATGTCAAAATTTCAGTTTTTCAAAAGATAGTGAAATAATGCACTTTGTGTAAATAGTGCATTACACGACGTGCAAAATAATCAAATTATAAACTTTTGTCCAATAAACTGAGCAATTGAATAAAGTTCAAAATCAGGATTACATCCATTTAGAGAATATCTATTAGTCTGGATTTTGCTAGTTGTGATACTGATCTTTTATGGATGAACTAGCTGTTACACGCGACTTTGCCCGCAGGGATTTTGAAAGCAAACCCCATTTATATTCGGTATTTCAACAACCATAGTAATTGTTATATAACACCTACTGCCAAAAATGATAAGAATTGCTGAGAATCAAATGAACTGTTTTCAATTTGATCAGTTTTCTGGAATGTTTACAATCGTTCTA